GTTCATTCTAAGGATTATCTCAGATTTCGATGATAAAATATGAAGAGGAGAAGGTCTACAATTTGCACGCAATGATAATAATCTCATATAGGTCACGCTATTGCCATTAAAAAAATAAGAAAAAAACTGTCAGAGGTAAGGACAGACAAACATACAGATGGGCAGAATGACCTCCTATACCGAATTTTTCTTTTAAAGTACCGCATACAGATCCGTTCTTGTATACATACTTACGAAGATTAGACGTGTATAATATAGTAATTTTTTACGTTATTTCTTAATATTTTAATAGAAAATAATTTAGAAAATCCGAATACTTTTATAGAACGATGGGAAATTAAAGTGTAACGAAGCGAAAGTGAATATATAAGGTCAATATGAATAAACATAAAGATCATCTGACCGTGAAGATTCCTAAAGAGCATTTTCCGGAGGGGAGCGCATCCATTTTGTAAAATAATGATGATTAAAAGCATTATAATTACATTTTTCTTCATTAGTTATGGCAAATATGAAAGCTGAATAATAAAAAAATGTCAAAATAATCCATCTAAATGGTTCCCAAAATTTGTACCCATGCAATTATCAACGCATAATTTAAAATAAGAAAAATGTTACTAGGCTATTGTCATATAGATTTAGGGGCAATTAACTACTGCATTATCATTTTTTTTCTTTATATATATATATATTAATTTAAAATTTATATAGATCCGTATCGAATTGAACACGAAAGATTTTTATCGATGGAAAACAATTTTTTTTTTTTTTTGCGTGTTTATGAAGTAAATAGGCCTACAATCCCGAAATAGTAAGATGGATCCGTGTGGTATGTGTATGGATTTATCTAGGCGACCCTTCAAGAATTTACAAACCTGACCGGTAAGTCAAATCTGGTGTCAGACGTGGCCATATTTCATAAGTTTGGCAGTTCGAGGATCATACCACTCACTCATTCTGTCTTTCTTGTGTTGGATTTATATAATTTACCCTGTCAATTCTTCTTCTTTTTATTTTTTTTTTTTTTAAGTTCGGCACCCCTACTTTTACCATCTCTACTTGGCATTTTTATTTTAAACTCGTTATTGTTTCAACCCGCTTATTTGTTGGCTCATCTTCACAGGAATTTCTACCCACTTCCTTTAAACACTTCATGAAATTCTGAAATTTTCGAGCATTTAAAAACCATTAAAAATCTCGTGGGTTTTTCGAAGATGTAAGAAAATAAATAAATAAATAAAGGAATTAAATTGTTATGCCATTTGCTGGAGTTCAAAACAAACAAAGAGGTTAAACTTTGACTCTAAATGGCACGACCTAAATAAGTGAAAATTGTAGTTATAATAGATCGGACATTCAAAAAGTTAAGCGGGTTCATCCATTACACAAAGACCGCTGGCTAATGGGTCAGTGGCAAGTTAATATGACCTTTATATGGTTCTGGAGAATGTTCTTCTCTGTTGGATAGCGACTGCAATGTTGTTATTTCCTCTAGACGATTCGCGTTTGTTCATTATTGCTTCAGTGAGCAACTTTTAAAAACTTACTTTCAAGATAACCTTGCATACCTTGAGGTAGGTCAAATGTGGCGGAGTAGTTAATTGCAGAGATTAACAAATCTTACCAAAAACATAAGGAAGAGTTCAGAAAAATTTTATCGAAAGAAATAAACGCAAGTTTTTCGATTTTCTTTCACGCCTCCTCTGCATGATTATCTCCTCCTGTGTGACATATCCATCGTTTTAACCTGTTTCTTAACATTATGAAATATGAGAAAACAGGGAGAAAAAAAATAATAAATAATAGAAAACAAATGGGCCTCAGAAACTGGAAAATTTCTCCCCTTTTTTAGAAAAATCAATCCACGCCTTTGAGGAGTGACTGAATAAACAAAACGCTTGAACTCATTACATAATTCGTGGACAATTCAGGAAACGTCACAGAAGATTTTTTTTTCCTAGTTATAAACACCTGAAAATAGATATTCAAAACTCATCCAACCTTGATCCTTCAGGTAGTTCGAGACTCCGGAAGGGAGTGTTGATCACTGACTCCTGAGGACACACCAACTAAGTCATTGCCTGCTATAAATAGGTGCCTCGGGGCTTAACAACTAGTTTATTACTTGTCTCAACTTAAATATGATTTTTTTTTCTTTCTTTCTTTTCTTTCTTTCGTTAAGCTTTCTCCACGCTCGGATTTCACAAATAACCCCAATTGATTTTCACTTTCTATCTATTTTAAACCTATTATCAAATGGCGATTTTCTCTTAATTCCTTCGAATTTTTTTTTTTATTATATGGACCATAAATAAATGGGTATGAATATGAAGTTACTTAATCATGGCTTCTAGCTAGGAAACAAGCGAAGTACTTTGTACTTCTATTCGATCATCATGACGAGCAAAGTGATCTTGAAAATAATTAGCATTAAGGATATCGAGTCTAATTAGCATACTTGTTCTCTTGCATGACAAAATTGCGATATGGTTCATTGGCCAGAATTGTCATTTATATTACATTAAAATTTTGACATCTCTAGCACGTGTTACACAAGGAAATGCAAGACAACATGGCGTCTTTGTTAGACCATAATTTTTTATTGTTATTCAATAAAAATGGCTTCAATTTAATGACCCACTCCCTCCCCATCAGTTGGTATCGTTGCCTTGAATATGACCATAAAATATTCAATTTTAAATTGCTCTGTGTGATAGCTTTACGAATAACATATTTGCATTAATGATGATAATAAAAATAATTTATTATTTATTAATTATAAAATCCCTTTGTAAGCTTTAAATAATTATAATATTTCGATGGTTTTCAATTGCAAATGAGGTAATTTGAATTCTCATCTTGAGAAATCTTGTCACACACCAAGTGACTCAAGAGTGCACGCTTGGTAGATAAATTGTGCGAAGCATACGATAGTTATACAACCATCCAGTTTTTTAAATATACGATGGGAAAGTTTCTTTATATTTGATCTTTATGGCTAAGAAGGGGTCAAAAACGTTGATGCGCTCAATCGTGCTGAGTGAGGACTTCCTTCCAAGATGATGCTTTACTTAATCTTAAATATGCTCAATTTACCATGTTTTTCAACGAATTGCAAACTAAATATATCTTGTTTTTTTTTAATGTGTTTTGATACATATTAATCGTCAATTAAGATCGTTAATTTTATTTCTATTGAAGGCCTTCGATTAACTCATTTCTTGAATTGTAAACACATTAGATGCCCTCAAATTATTAATGAGGAATAAATCGGCATTGCCGTGAGTGATCGAATGCTAGATTTCTCCACAAAAAAAAAAAAAAAGAAATTTCCCCAAGAGGCTCCTCACTATAAATTACTTCCTTATGAGATTAACCCTGTCTACATCAGCCTTCGTGCTAACCAAGAAAGTTGTTTTTTCCATTTGAAAAACATTAACCCTGTGGTGTGAACATCTCAATTTTAATCTTATTAACTAAATAATGTCTAGTTTCTTATTACAGAATTCTAAATTAAACGAAATCTCATAAGCCATTACATTAGCAAAATATCACGATTTCTCAAGGTTCGGTTTACGAAAAAAAAAACGAATTCAAAAGAAAAAATCCTCAATACAACAATAAAATATTTTTCGAAAGGGTAAGAAATAAAAAAAAAAATAAAATAAAATCTCCGACCCTGAAGGCAATAAACAGGGAGGTACTAAAATTGAATCCAACTCCCACACCTCCTCCCATTAAGAGTCCGGTTTTTTGGCGACATGAGTGCAACACACGGAAAAGAGGAATGACAAGATTCTTTAATACAATATGTAAATATGGCTAATGATCTCTTCCTTACACTAAATTGCAAATAATATATTTATAGTATTTACCTAAAGATTCATTTCGTTTCTTTTATGGAAAGTACAAAGGCCTCTGCTTTTACGTCCTTGAGTTATGGTTGTAAATCTTACCCTCGAGGAGCCTCAAAATAATCTTTCCATTACTCTATAAAGTTGAGTACTTATCTTTTTATGATTTAAGCATCAATTAAATCTTAAAAAAAAAAAAAACATTCTATAAATTTAAAACTATTCGAAAACTAGTTGGCTAACTATTGAATAACGCACGTAATTGAATCTCCTTCAGAGGATCTTCAGAGTTGAAGATCCTGCGAATCTTACAAGAGGATCTTCAACTCTGTTAGGTAGCTTCTAAAAACTAACTTTAATTATAAATCTTAATACATTTTTCGACCAGTTGCAGACCATTTACCGCATCCTCGCGGATCACTGATGGTCCGCAGACAAAGCTTGAGAATCAATGTACGATTACTAGTTTGCTGGAGATTCGTTTCTTTTAATTCACGAATCACGGATTTACTTTTTCAGTTTCGTTCTTACAGGGTATATTAATTGATATAAAGCTTAAATAGTATTGTATAAAATTAAACTGTTAGTATGTTTTCAAACAGGTTAATGCACAGTCCTCTTATATATATATCTAGGATTAAAAATAAATATTTATAAAGGAACAGAAGTGGATAAAAATCAGTGAATCAAGGTGAGCAAGTAGACATTTAATACCGGGTAAACTAGCAACGGGATACACCTACGGTAACCGTTTATTGATAGAATTTTGTAAACTTCGGTCATAATCCGACATAGACACTTCCTGTCTCCAACCAGACTGATTTTTTTTTTCCTAAAGGCAAAGAATCTGTGGGTTTCTACTCAGATATGACCCTAAGAAATATCTTGAAATTTCCTAATTTAACTACAAATCCACGTTTAAACACTTAGATAAGATATCTTTTGCGGGCTTTCAGCCTAAACGCGGATGAAATATTTCTAGCACGTGGTATGACGTCTATTGTGTGTAACGTTACACGCCAGTTGAAATAGGCCAACGGTACACCTGGTCTAGTCACGTCCCTTAGAAATATCGCCAAAATATTAAAATATAAATTAATTTAGAAACGAACTAACGATAAGTGGAAACATCAAGCAGTCACTTACCCATGGCATCGGTGCTAGCCACAGCTTCGTTGTAAAGACCTACCCTCACCGACTTCTTACGTTCTTCTTGCCACACACTTCAGTCACAGAAGTTGCCGTCCGGTCACGTGACACTTACCTGTCCTAAAGACAAGAGCTGATTGGTTCACGGGTCGCTAGTTTCTAGACAATCCTTACCATTTATGTCCGCTCTCCTGTAGGACTGGTTGAGTGACGTTGAAGGTACAGCGGCCTTGCCTCTGGGATGATTCACCCTTACAAATAGTTAAAGACACCTTCAGGTCATTTCATTTCATCGTTGTACATCCACCTGTAAGTGTTCATAAGAGAACCGGCTTCTGTATTGGTTCTCTTCTTGAAGATTTTGATGTATTCAGCACTTTTATTTTCTCAGAAATACGCCTACCTCTAATATTAAATTTGTTTGAAAAGGACATCTTCGGAGCCAGGAGCAAATTATTGCCCAATGATCTCTTACATTTCAAAGCCATCTTTAGAAACTTATGAAAGGTTTAATAAATACGTTTTCACGGGATTAAATCGATGAAATAAAATTTAAATTATTTCGAATCTTACATAAAATTCACTCAGGAAACCAATAAATTTTGTGATAAATTATTTTAAAAAAAGTAAAACAGGAAATTTCATTAGAGAAATACATACAATTTCCATCCCCTCAAAAAACTGTGGATAATAAATCTTAATTAGAGGTATTTTTTAAAATAAAATTCTTCTATAAAGAAGATTCTTCTTTGAGATTCAAGAAAAATAATTCAACAACATAAAAAGAAGCAGTATTTACTGTAGTAGTCAACGTTAGTTAATTGTCAAAGCTTCTTTAGGAAGCTCTTTTAATTCAATCTTCATCATGTAATAGTGATCACGGACAATGCCACCGTTCTTTCAGAATTCCCTTTTTGAATTACGAGCAACGTCCTCTTAACAATTATAAGAATAGATATGTCCATCACTTGGTCAAATTTACACTAAGGCATATAATTATTTTCCCCTTTTCGTGTTTGTTCATCAGTTGAATATGTTGTTCTTTTGATTCTAAGGATTCTCAGTGTGTAATTCGATTATGACGACATCATCTCTTTTTTTCGGTTTTCCTCCTTGCAAATTTTGATTGCTCAGCAAGGTAATTATGAAGCAATCTTTTGTTTCCTCAAACTACCCTCCTCATAGTTAGAATATCTTATGAGGACGGCCTTGAAAAGGGCGTGGTAGATTAGACGTCCTCATTGTTCACTCAACTTGTCTTCATATTTTTAAAACTGAAGATGCTTCTGAACCGACGTTTAGAAGCTTCATTTTTAATAAAACTCATTAAAAAATCATTTTTTTTCCTCCCAGTTATAAAGTTCTTAATAATGACGAGGAAGTTTTCCTTCGCTTCCATTACAGTAAAATTAATGCAATACGAGTAATTCCTACGCCATTTAAGAGTAATATTTTATAAAGTAACCGGAAAAGTATTGGAATTTACAGTTTATCCAACATAATTTCTTATTCTTTATTTTGTATGAAGAATTATTCTCACGTCTCCTGAATTTATTTTATATAAACTACACTACGCATGTAAATTCAATACATTAAGAAATCGTACTCTTCTGGTACTCTATATTTAATCATTTTAAAATTATATTTGGCATATAACTCCAACGGTGGATTAAGACCTTCTAGGGGGCCCCTTTAAATAATTTTACATTATAAATTAATAACGCTTAATTGTATCATAGAATTCTTTATAAATTCTGATGTGAAACGGTAAAATAGCTTAATCTGTTTCCAATATTGGGATTCGGATCCTCTAGAAACAAGCCTAGGCCCTAATCGTGTAATAAACCACTGTCATAAATATCATTGAAATTAATATGAAGTTCTGTTGTATTGTTGCATGCAACCTTATTTGCATTTTATCTTATTTTTCGGTATGTTTTCAGTCAAACTTTATCTTGTTTAATCGTTTGTAGATACACGAAAAAATACCTTCCAACTACAATTTTATCAATTATATCTTCAAAAAATAGATAAAGAAAAACAAGATAAAAATACAATTAGAATAAAGAAAGTTTCGCTTATTCTTTATTAAAAATGATCGAAAAATTTTAGATTTTAAGCCCGAAATTTTGTTGATTTTATAATAAAATAATAATAAATAGATATTTCATTGTGTCGATTTACACGATAAGCATGAATTGAGAGAAGTGAAATAGGGCCTGCTCCAGTCACAAATGTGGAACCCCGCCCATCCGAAAGCTATAAAAACATTTAAATATAATTAATAAAACAAATAAAAATAGATTTTGTACCATTTAACTTCATTTCTTTATATTTATTTTTACAAATAAATGGTCAATTTTGAGGCCTCTAGTGTCCGGAACCATGCCAGATGGCCGTATTGGTTTACCTTTATCTGAGATTGATGATAATTAAATTATAATTAAATTAAAATGCCCACTAAAAATTTGGGGCCTCTATATCTGGACCTGGTACAGATACCATGTTGGTTTCCCTTTATCTTCAATGGTATCTTCAAGATTGAAAATTCTTGAATTTATTCTTATTTAACTAATAAAACTTTTTAAAACAACGTTGTAGAGTATATTACGTGGATTGTTTTTTACACAGGCCATATTTTCATTATAAAATATAAGCCTATTTATAATCTGTTTCAGTACAGGATGTGATTTTGTAATTCCAACCAATCTGTGACAGAGATATCGTAGGAGGAAATTTAATGTCTAGCAAGGCATAAATATTTCGTAAGTTATCATTCCAGTTTCATTGGAACATCGGCGACTTCTTCCACGGATAACGTGACACAATTTCAAATAACTGTCTGACGAAGCGATAACCAATAAAATAACAGCGTTTTAAATCATATGACGTTTTGCCTTTACGTAAGTATCCCTTTGTATCACGCAACAATAAAAAAAAATGTTTAAAATATTAAATATTAGGCTAATAAACGTATTATAATTATATAATTTATTTAAATTAATAATTATTTCAAAATTTGTGTATTTAATTCGTATTTTATGATATAGNATTTTTTTTGGTGTTTGGCATGAATGAAAAATATATGATTTGTGATCGAATACTTTTAGGTCACATTGTTTAAATGTTGAATTTGAATTGTTATTGCTTCACGCCTGTGGAATCAGTTCAACAAAAGAAGTACATTGACTGAAAAATGAGAACAAAACAGATCAAGGACTATAAACGCGAGAACGATTAAAGCTTACTATTTATGAATAAAGCTTATTACAACACATAATGCCGTTTCTTCTTTAATAATTAATAGAACTCGCTTCCGGGAGGAAAATCTATATCTTCAAATGTGGCATAAAATATTATAAAATATTCTATCAGCTTTTAAACATGAATCATTTCACGTCATAACGAAATTTAAATGAAACGCTTACGCATATAAAAGCGGCAATAATATTAACAAGAAAGAAACTATTATTTTAACTATTGATAGAATCAGCAATTTATTATTATACACTTATAAGTAGCGCATATTAATATAAGATTATAATTATATAATGTAAATATAAGCTTATATTAATATGGCAGTTATTATGATTTAGCCTATATACACACACATATATATATTATATTAAAATAACTGATTAATATTTATAATTTGAAATGTATACATTAGAATATATTTACTAATATTTAAAGATAGAAGTAATAGTAAATAAATAAACTGACATAAATAACAATATCTAATAAAATAGAGTTTATGCTAATGATTAAAAGATTTGTTCTTTCAGATTTTAATTCGAAATTAATTTATACCTTTAAGATTTTAAATTTTAACTTCAATCAAACTTCAAATATTAATGGATAAGTTTTAAAGTAATAACGAGTTGTCTTGGAATTCCCCTAAAACTTTAAAAAATGTTTGGAGAATATCTGCCATTGTTATTATAATCGTGAAATTATATATGACATGTTATTAGAATCTAAGTACTGTGATTCAAAATCTCCTATGAACTACTTTTATTTATTTAATAATAAGCGTAGTTTATTTCCTAATTTCAGTAATAATACTTAAAACTTAAAATATTAAATATAAAATTGTTTTAGTGTGTTTGCTAATTGTTAAATGTTTCATTCGATCTTATGTACTGTACAGTACTTCATTTTATTTGACAATTTTCATTTTTACAGTATTAAAAATTCTATACTTAATTAACGAAAGATTCGCATAATATAAATTATGATAAATGACGCGATGAAAGATTATATTATATATTAATTTTTTTTTAATATTCGTGGAAAAGTAATCTTTCTAGCAAGGTCTCTAGATCTCTGTTGAAAGATAAATACTTTCGAATAATCGAAATTCGTTTTTTGTACATAAATTTCTCATGAAATCATTCATTTGAAAAAATATACTAGGAAAGTATTCTACAATTTACATATTCACTGGATTATGAAAAATATCTTCCTGATAGTTACGTAAGCTCATGCCTTATGAATTTACAATCAGGTAATAGGCTATTTAGTATATTAACTGACAGCGAGTTTCCTAAATTTGAATATCAACCAGTACGCGTAGAATTTTCTAAACGTGTTCATTGATGGAAAGATGACAGTCTCAAAATTCAGGTTTTTTTTGGTTAATTAATGAAGTTTATTCATTGATTAATTTGTGTTTTTAGCGTTATTTACATTCACAAACAGGCATTATCAAAGTATAGTATTGTCAAAAAAAGAAGCAAGAATAGATAATTTTAAATAATATGTACAGCATTCATATGAAAATTAATTGAAATTGAATGAAACCATTATTTATTGTGTAGTAAGAAAGAGAATAATGGCACAAAACAAAGTATATATACTTGTATTGTTTTTATCTTGTATATATACATAGAATACGATACATACGTCATGTATCCTTGATGAAAAATTCTACACATTTACTCAAATCTAACTTTATTTCAGTAAGGGTTTATTTTATATATAAAAAGTTATATTTGCATATATCTCAAATCATAACTTTAGTTGATGGATTGACCAGTAAAACATGTATCTTAAGAATCTAGGCACGTAAAACATAAAACCTAAAGTTTTTATGGTAAATTTTGGACTCTTCAGTCTCCACTATATAAATTCATACTGGCGTACGTCAATATCGAAAGATTTCTATCTTTATTTTA